CACACCCACGCCAACACCCTTCTTCGATAAATAAGTTATGTTTGAAGAATAGAAATTAATACGAAAGCAAGCTTCCGTTTATAGATAATCAATGCATGTTTAATTCAATTCTAGAAATCTGCTTTCGATGTCATTTGCCATTTGACTGATTCAATTTGCAATCTTTCCAATAATTCAATTAGTATAGTTTCCAGCATTTATATTTAAAAGCTGAGTCATATTCGAATGCACTGGATTGACTCTTAATGGTAAGAATATTCAATGAATGGACCATTATTGAAAGCTAGAAAAATGAAAATATAATATTGTTGAGTATATCAATATTCTTGGGTTCAAAAGTCCAGACATAAAATGAAAACTAGAATGGGGTGAAGCTTGAATTTATTAGATTTTGAAACTTGATTATGCTAAATATTAGAGTTATAACTTTTAAAAAAATTACGCATCACTGATCTGCCAATATAAAGTTATCTAGTGCTGTTCCTAAAATCATGTTTGTTTCCCGTTTAATTATTAGAAATAACAGGAACACCGAAAGATCTATAATCTACTCATTTTCCGAAGTCCTTCACTTAAATAATGACTTTTTAGCTAGTAATTTTTCGCACTCAGTTCAAGACTAAGTATTTATCGAACGCATGCCTGGAACCGATCGGAGTTTTTCAGACCGGATCGGTCAGTTGATATTCTTGACTTGACCGACAAAAAAAAACGGTGAAAAACCGGCCGATCGTAATTCTGCATTGAACCAGCGAAAAAATCGGTGCGTTTCATGTCTTAACTAACCAATCAGTTCTTTCGAGGAACAGTCTATTATTTTAGTTTCCACGAACGTATACGAATGTCAAACTCATATAATTCTTGGAATTTCTAACAGTAACGACTCCTACTTAAGTGTGTCACGTTTTATGCTGTAATATTAAGAATGCACAAAGATTTCTTTCAAAAAGTGTCGACTAGGAATTCGCAGCAACTAAATTGAACAACATCTAAGGATGTTCTGATTGGTTTTTTTTTTCGAATAATGATACAATTTCTTTACAATTGATAGGTTTAATCTTTTCTTTTTTGAATTGGTTAGTTATTTGACCCAACTGAAGGGCATCTCAGTTTGCAAAAGAATATTAATGTAAATAGCAAGACAAAACGAGCTCAAGTGTACGATTTTTATATTAAACTTTCTATTTCAGGCTTCTTAATGTCTAAATATTAACGTAGCTGCATGTTACTAGTAGCTGGTAACACCTCGACAACAGGGCTGAATTTTTCTGATATTTCGATATAAAAACATGAAGTGAATACTACTAGCTATTGGAGTTCTATGAGAGTTGGTCAGAAGTAGTCCATAGAAATGAGTTCAAAATTGGGAATGGAAAATCTTTAATTTTGACTGATAGTAACTTCTAGCATTTGACTAACTTTTCATGAGTATAATAAATTCATTGGCATGATACGAGGTTCTCATCCTAAGGTGAGAAAGTATTAGTCGATATTTAGATCTAAGATTTTCACAACGACTAAATCTTAGTCGGTGGAAAACTTCTAGACTCATATTTCTTAATCATTGACACTAAAGAAATCATTAAAAACGAGTAATATAAGTCAAGTTTTAGTGCCAAAAAAATATTATAAATAACGAAAAAAATCAACGAAGTCTGGTAAAAAAACTAATCAGTTTTAAAAACTCAAGCGGAGCGGTACCGGTCTGCCGGTCCGGTTTCAGCTATGATCGAACTTCTTACAATTAATTTTAGTCGATATTCATCAGTATTTGTTCATTGTTCATAAACTTTCGACATTTTTGAGAACTTGAATGAACGTGCTTATAAAATCCTTTTATATTAATAATTGAATTTGAAGAGTTTTTATGAAATTATAAGAAATCAAATAGAATGGATTAGTTCAATATTAAATGGCTCAACGTAAGATAAAAAAACAAAATTTGTGCATTAGTTAAAGTAACATATTATTTTCTGTTTAAAAACAACTTTAGATTAAAATATAATTCAAATAAAAAAAACAATCATAAGATTAACTGATTATATTGTTTTAATAATAGTTTAGCCAGTAGCTGAATTATTATATGTTCCAATATTTGTATTAAAAGTGAGAACCATATTCGATTGTACAGAATTAGCTTGATGATAGGAATATTGAATATATGGACCACTACTGGATTCTTAAGAAAATGAACATAATTTAATCACAAATACAAGAAAAATAATTTTTCACTCTTTACTTTGTACACCAACAGTAGCAGTAATACCTCCATCACTTGCATAGAAATATTGGAATTGAACAAGGCCAGGTGTACTCTCGAAGAACTTGACTTGGAACTGATAATATTGAGAAGGCTGTTGGTAATGACTCATATAATACTCAAATATCAATACACGATTCGGAGCATTGCCTTCAGTTCCATAATAGATTCCTTGTGATGTGCTCGAATAAACATAAAGATCATCCCAAAATGGAAAAACTGTTACACCGGAAAAATCGTTAGTGGGTAAAGAAGTTTCGCTATAATCGTCGTCACAAGTTCCAAAACACAAAACCTATGAAAGAAAATAAATTCTTCATAATAAGAATTGACCTATGTCATTTTCATAATATCTTGAAACAGGATTAAAGTCTTCGATATTTGTGAAGTATGTAAGACAGATTAAATATTTTTAGCAATTCTTTAACATTCTGACAGAAGTTTTAATAGACTTCAAATATCAAATAAAATATTCCGTCTCCAAATCATTATTCATTCTCTAAAATAATAATGAAAAGTACTGTGAGTTATCAAGAGTAACTAGTGCTTAGAGAAAGTTTGTTTTTGACATTGATTATCAACACTGGAATTCAATGTTTCTTTTTAAGTATATAAACCGTAATTAAAATCTCACTTCTTGTATCTAAATGGTTAGCAAAATATGTTTATCATGAATTATCACTTCTTCTGTGAACTCAAATTCATTTTAATTTCAAATCCTAATAAATAATTACTATCTAACATCCCTAGTGAAAATACTCATCAAGCGAGTATGACTTGCCAGCATGAATACTCAAATTACTCGTTCCAGTATGCGAGCAATTTTTATACAGTACTGGACAAAAGTCTCCACTCCACCGCATTTCAAATGACATATGTGTTGGAGGTCTAAAAGTTTGTGTGCACATACTACATCAAGAATGTAGATTAGAGGTACACTCGCACCTTGATTGTTTATATAACAAAAAGAATTATGATAGGTGTTACTGAATTGTTGTCAATTTACTATGGTCGTTGCTCTGAAGAAAATTATCTGTTGTCCTTTGGAAACTATAACTCAGCAATAGTTCAATGAAGTGAACTCCAACTTCTAGAGAAGCTTTGCTAAAAGTTAAATATTGTCGTCTACATCTTGTACTAAAAGGAAATAGCATGCCGATGATCATCGTATTTGCATAGAGGACTCAGAGACATCCAGAGATAGCAATCTTGTAGCCAATGAGCTCATCTTTTGGATAAAGAACGACTATAGATAGAACTCCAGTGGACATCTTTTTTCAGGTTAAAAACCTAGAAGCAAAAATGGATACAGTTCATCATAATTCCCTTTGTACTAAAGCAATTGTAGTGTGATTTTGCTGCCGATCTATATTCATGATGGAGTATATTTGCACAAACTTTCAGACATCCAGCGCGTATGATAGCTAAGATTCGGTGTAGTAGAGACTTTTTTGGCTACTGTATGTTTGAATATTGTTCGTGTACTTTGACGAATTTTTCTCTACAAATTTACTAATAGGACAATGACACGAGTACTCAATATAACACTTATGTTCGGTTTTCTTTTTCGCAGAATATTCTGCAA